TTTCAACATAAGACACCATCCTGTTTCCTTTCTCTCTCTCTCTCACATCTCTGTTCTTAACTGTTTATACTCTAGCTATCATAAATTCTAAGTTCAAATAATGTTCTTGGCTAAGGTTTTTTTTTTTATTTTACATTTTACTTTACTTAGAAGGACTTGAGAAGAAAGAGAGGGTATTTTTAAAGTGTAGAGTGGCCAGAACTGGAGGCTGAATCTCATAAAATCCCTAACACTCTGGAAGAGAAAGTCTTCTCTATTCTGGACTTCACTCTCTTGGGTAAAACCACATTCAAAATGTAGAGCTTTCGTGCCTCTTCAGCCATCTCCTATTCAGAGATGTTACTTTAGCCTTTGTAAAGCATGGTAAATATTCCAGATCCTTGAGAAGAGACTAGTTTTCTAGCTGAGGGAAATTTATTCTGTATTAGGAAGGGTTAAGCTTTTTGCTTGGCATCTATCTGAATAAACAGTGTGATTCTGTGGCATCTGAATTTTGCATTCGGATCATTTTTCAGAAAGCAAGATGACCTGATTTTTGTTTTCCCCTGTAAGCAGGTTGTGATGAATCCACAAAATACTTGAGCCTCTCCTTCGTGTCTGGTGGATAGCTTGCATGATGATGTTATTTCCAAGAGGGTGGTAGTTTATGGGGAAATGCAGAAAGTTCAGGCAGGGAATAGACAGAATCAGAGAAAGCTTTAGGGGAAAAATTTCAGTGAGACTTGGAAGTGGCCGACTGGGGATGAGCCCAGAACCTCTGAGTCCATGTTTCTCTCCCACTCTACTCCACAGTGAAGGAGGCAGAGGAGAAGTGATCAGAAGTTTAGGGGGAAAAATCACCCATAAACGATGCCTCCAGTGTCCCGAGACTGGGGAGTTTGTTGATGGTCTGAACATGCTGGCTGGAGGAAAGGCCACTGAGTCAGACCTGCAGGAGGAAACGGAAGTTGCAGAGATGGGAGGGGCAGGATGGCAAGTGTTAGGGATGTGGGTAAGATTGAAACAGTGAAGGAGATGGGGAAGTGGCTGGGACTTGACCTTGGGGAGGCAGAAGGGGACAGACTTAGGAATCCCAGGTATCACTTGGTACTGTGATGCAGGGTCTAATTAGAAAGGAGGATGAGCAAATTTAGAGATCAAGCCTCAAGCTGCTTCACTCTTTTAAAAGCCTCAGTTTTCAAATATGTAACTTCTATTCTCTTCCCACTTACGATCAGGCTGAGCACCTTCACAAGTAATGTCCTTCCTAAATTTTGGGTCCAGACTCCTGGCCCTGCTTTCCCTGGGTGGCCCCTGAGACCAGCCCCTCAGTCTCACTTTTCCTGGCTGCTAGGGCAGGGCCAGACGTGCCCTCCACGGAGCACCCTGTCAGGTGCTCCATCTTCATTCCCAGAAGGAGTGTATCCCAGTTCCAGTCCTTCCTGCTGAGGCCACCTGGGCTGGGCCCCTGGGATGCTCCTCTCTGTCTTGGGGGAGATGTTAGCCACTCTTAAGCTGCAGTCCTCTGGCTCCTCTTCTCTGAGCCCTCAAGGGAAGGCCTCCAACCCAAGTCTCTTGCTCTTGCTGTCTCGAAAAGACAGAGCCCTTACACATTTGCCCAGCTCAGGGTCTTGTCCCCCTACACTGGGAGCTGTAAAGATTGTGGGCTTTGGTGTCTGAAGGATTTGGGTTCAAATCTTTCCTTGTACAGATTTTAGGCTAGTCTCTCAACTGCTATGAAGTTCAATTTCCTTATTTGTAAAATAGGAATATTGATTTCAACTCCCGTTGAGAGAATTAAGTGGGAAAATGTGGGACAAGGCACATAACAGAGTACCTGGCACCGAGCAGGCTCTCAGTACGTTTTCCTCTCCCTCACCCTACCCCACTAACCCCGGCTTTGTCTGATTCTCCCGTCAGGCCAGCTGTCTCTCCGGACATGGTCTTTAGTCCTGTTTCCAGTCTGTCTGCAGGACCTCTCTCCAAGTTCCTCCCAGTAGAGGTGGGATGGGACCACTGATGGACTGTTTTGCAGATGAGGAGCCTGGTGATGAGCTCCAGAGAGGTGACTCTGGTCTGGGCAGCGTGGAGACCATGCTTTCTCCAAGTCTTCTTTCTGACTTCTAAGCCTGGCTGGGCCATGACCACATCTGGGAGCTGTGCAGTGACTGGAGGATGACTAGGACCAGACTGAAAATTAGATCTCTTTGTCTTTGCCAAGTTAATGTCTAAGATGTGAGTCTTCTGAGTCTCGCTCACATCTCATGGGGCACCTGCCTTCCCTCCCTCTATGTTTTCCTGTAGCCACACACATACACCTAACTCTTCACCAGAATCTTCTAGTCACTTGTATCTTAAAATACTAATTTTTGTTTCATAAAAATACTAATTTGCTTATTTATCATTTTACATGAGTCTGTCTTTGTTTCCTCTTTATGTCTGAAAACTTGCTCATAAGCTCCTTGGACTCAGGGACCACATCTTCTGCTTTTCTTGAATTTCTTTGTTTGTGTTTAGCACATTGCTGAACTCCTGATAGGTCCTGGAAATATTTTGTGTCTGCTTTTCAGTCCACAAAACCAGTAGTAGCTCACATCTATAAATAAGTTAGATGGCTTAACAAACAAAGCTCTATGATTTCATTCTATCCTCTCACCTACCATGGGAGGTAGTTACTATGGTAATAGGAAAACTGAAGTTTAGACACACTCAGTGACTTACCCAGGGTTACATAGCTAGTAATTTTGAAGCAGGGGAGGTGGGACTGCAGGATCAGGATTGAGCAGGGTTTACGGTGCACAGCACTGTCGAGCACATGCTTGGGTCCTGCAAAATTTTAATCTTGCTGCTTGGAAAACTCATGGCTTAAGTCTGTCCTAGTCAAGGGACATAATCAGAATGATAAATCTGACCTGTATCCTTAAGATGGCTAAGTCCATCTTTTGTCTCAGACTGAAAGTCTCTTTAGGAAATCATTTCCTTATGTTAACTTTTTAAAAATGAAGTTTTTGGACTAAAACATATTTTCCATTTTTTTTTATTGCGTGAGCACAGTATTTATCTCATCGAGAATTATGATAAACTGCCTGAATGTTTCATGTTTTTCACGATTCATATGGAACAAATTAAAAATAACTTTCCATAGTATGGATTGCCCCAGAGAACTGCTCAAAGACCCCTCCTCCGGCCCACTTCCTCCAGCTTCACGTCTGGCTCGAATTTCACCGCCTCCAGTCTAAGAGAGGCTCGGGTGAAGAGGATCCCCGGGAAGCGCAGGCCCCTCGTCCCTGGCAGAGTGCACGTCGGAAACCTTTGTCTGATGGGCCGCCACATCCTACAAGGGAGAAGGTGTCATTTTAGATGATTTTTTGTTTGTAGGCTTACACAGTTAGGAAGACTGGTTATTTTTATTACTTTATTCAGGTTTTAAATATACTTTGTCAGTCACTTCTGTAAGTATTTAAAAAAATAAAAATGTAAGCCACCAACAAAGGAGCTTCCAGCAGATGCCCTGGGCTAGAACAGGTTTGTAGACACTTTTGACTTCATTGAGTTGGCTAGTTTCTAGGTCACATTCAGTTCTGCCCCAGCCTGTCCTAGTTACAGGGTTAAGAAGTGGTTGAAGGTCGATTTAAATCCACGTCACGTGAATTAGGAAGGACTGTCTGACTTCCATTCTACCATGTTGCTTCAGAAAAACTGGCTCTGAGTGGCAGCCTTGTCATTCTGTAACGGCAGCCCAGGGAAATCAGTCTTCTCAGTTGAGTGGGGCAAGATGACCAACTTCAGTGAGTTATTTATTTATTTATTTACTGTTTATTGAAGTGTAGTCAGTTTACAGTGTTGTCTCAGTTTCTAGTGTACAGCATAATGTTTCAATCATACATGTATGTACAAATACTCCCTTTCATTATAGATTACTACAAGGTATTGAATATAGTTCCCTGTGCTCTACAGTAGAAACTTGTTGTTTATCTATTTTGTATATAGTAGTTAGTATCTGCAAATCTCGAACTCCCAATAATAGCCCTTCCCACCCTCTCCCCCCTATAATTCAGTGAGATATTGGGATGAGCAAATGCATAGGAAGCACCTAGTCACTCAGTACATTTTGGTGAGAAGCCCAAATATTAGGACATTGAACTACTGATCTTGCTCTGGGAAATTTGGGAGGGGTGGGATCAGAGCTAGCAACCTGCCATGTTTCTTCACACCCCTTCCACACCCTAACACCAAGATGTAACTCAAAAGGAATGGGTCTGAATTTCTCCAAAAGGACAGTGGGCAGCATCAGCTCTGTGGACTTGGTTCCAGCACTGAGCAGGGAATTCAGAAGGAAGGCAACCCCTTTGCTAGCCGTGGAGAGCTGAGATGCCCCAGCCACAGGGACTGTGGAGAAGACACTTAGTTGAGGTTTCAGGGCTGGCTCTCTGGATGTGGAGGGGGAGCTGGGTCTTCTCTCTGGGTTCTTTCTTGGCCCCAGTGGACCAGATAGAGTGAAGAGAGTGAAGAGGTCATGTCAGGAAGTGCCAGGTAGGTCCCAGTGTGTGTCCATCCATCCATCCACCTGTCTGTCCATCTGTCCACCTGTCCATACATCCATTCATCCTCCTTTCAATGTATATTGAAGCCTATTTCAAGTTAGCCATTGGGCTTTGGGCTGAGGATATAGACAAAAATCTCAAAGGTCACTGACCTCTAAACCAGTCTCAGCCTCTCTCTACTAAGTAATCCAGGTTAATTTTTTTCCATAGAATTTTTCATTATCTGAAATTATATCATGTATTTGTGTGTGTGTGTGTGTGTGTGTTTGTCCTCCACTGGAACATTAGCTCCATTAGAGCAGAGACCTTGTTTGTCCTGTTCACAGGTATGTTCTCAGTACCTCTTACTGTCTTGGTTGGATTTATTCCTAGGTATTGTATTCTTTTCAATGCACTCGTAAAGGGTATTGTTTTCTAAGTTTCTCTTTCTGAGAAATTGTTAGGGTATAAAAATGCAACAGATTTCTGTATGTTGATAAAAACATGGAATGCTTCACAGATTTGCATGTCATCCCCGCCCAGGGGTCATACTAATTTTCTCTTTATCGTTCCAGTTGTAGTATATGTGCTGCCGAAGTAAGGCCTGTGATAGATTTTTTTTTTTTACCTGTTCTCAGCAACTTTTCTCTGTAGCTGTAGAGGGCCCTCCCACTTGGCTTTTGGCTTGGCCGTGTGACGTGCTTTGGCCCCTAGGTATTTAGCAAATGGGATGCACACTGAGGCTTCAAAAGCCCTTATTCAGAGGAGCTTACTGTGCCTTCCTGTCATCACCATGAGAACATGCTTGGGCTAGTCTGCTTAGGGCTGAGAGACAAGCCAAACAGAGCAGAGTTTCCTGGAGCTTCTGAGGCCACCCAGGATCAGCTGACAGCTGGCCAATCTGGGATGTGTGCGTGAGACCACATAGCTGAGCATAGGCCACATCCCCAAACCCCACAGACCATGCACAAATTTGTTGCTGTGTGCCACTGAGGTTTTGTGGGTATTTGTTATACAGCATTATTGTGGCAATGGATAACTGACTGATACAGGAACTTTATAAGGGGGTCATATAAGTACCTTCCACTGGCCTTAGAATAGTAATGCTAAATATTTGTGATAGTTATACTAATTAATTGCTGGTTTTTAATACCCATAAACTTTTCTAGGAACTTTCTGTTTTATTTCTAATCCTCACAGTGAACTTAGAAGGTTGGCACAATGGCAGGACCACCACCATTTCTGCTACATAATGAGCTGTGTGCACCAGTGATTGAGACCAAAGGTACTGGACTCAGATGGCTTGGGTTCAAATTCCAGCTTCACCTCCTTTCTAGTTTTGTGATCTTGGGCGACAAAGAGGACATACTTATCCTCTCTGTGCTTTATTCCAAATATATAACATGGAGATGATAATCTCCACCTCATAGAGCTGTTAGGAAGATTAAATAAGGTGACAACCAAAATGCTTAAAGCAATGCCCAGTGCACAGTGCTCTTAAATAATACCCTTACTGTTAGGATTAGGTGGCAGCCCTGTGCTATGCGTTTTATATACAAGCCTTCACTTCATTCTTACAGAATCCCAGGAGAAGGGTCTTATTATCTCCATTTTATTGAAGAGGGAACTGCGGTAGAGGGGTCAGGACTCAGGACCACCCAGCTCAGAGTGCTGAGTAAACCAGGATGGAATCCGGAGGCGGAGCTGGTTCCCCAGGCTGCTGCTCCTCATTGGTCCCAGCTGGTTTCCATCTCCTTTGCCTGGGAAGGATGTCCGAGCCATCCCCAGGAGCCATCCCACGCCTACGTGGGCTCAGTCAGGCTCTGCGGGGCTGCCTTCTCTGAGGCAGTCCTCCAGTCTCCCTCTGCAGCAGGCCCCCATCAAGTCGGTGGGAGACACATGTGGGATGCAGTGTGAAATCTTGTCGGTCCCTGGAGGAAAGAGCCTTGCGCAGTACTCCTGTCCATCTCTGCCCAACTCATCATGAGACCTGGGTCCCTCTGCTTCTGCTCTATGTCTTTCCCACTGCTCTGTAGTGAGGACTGCCTTCCTCCCAGGGCAGCCCCGGGATTCGAAACACAGTATGGGAATGATGTTTTGCGGGGCTCCCATACCCTGTCCTGTCCTATGGCACCTAGGGCCCTTGGCTCACCTGCAGACCGAGTCCCATTGGTGTAGGGCACTTTCCAGGCCTGTGGGGTGGGCACAGAGGAAACTCCATGGGTTGGCTCGGTGACCCAGCCCTGCAGCAGCCTTCCCGCCCACCTGCTTGGAGCGCATGTCACTGCAGCACGGAGCCTGCCTCTGCTGCATCCTCAAGGCTCACAAGCTCTCGCCAACCCCTCACTGCTCACCTGGAAGTGCTGTCTGTACGTTATTCCAGACATGCGGCTGCCTGGCCTGCCAAGTGTGCTTCTACAGTTTTCTGTCCCGGTTTTTGGTATAATCACAGAAAAAATTCAGAATAAATGTACATCTGTGCATTTTTCACAGTGAGGGATGGCATAAGTAAGGGGGGGACCTTTTGAGTTTTTACTTTACACTTTTGTTTTCTAGTAAGTTGTCTCCCTTTGGGAATGAGACCCCTGGAAGACGAGGACTGAATCCAAACGCTCCCTGGGTCCTCAGACCCACCCTGGCCTGGAGGAGCACTCGGAAATGTTGGCTGCAAGAATGCATGAATGAAAGATGGCTGCAAACAGAGCCTTGCCTTTCCCTGCAACTACTTACTATTTGATGAATGAGTCTCTGAATTTTCCCCATGAGCTTGAGGCTCTGCTGAGGTCAGTTGTCTGGCACGTCAGTATCTCGTCCTGGACCCGACCTTCTGCCACCAGAACTCCCAGTCCTGCCTGCCTGTCCTGCTCTCTGCGCTCCCGGGCCCCCATCACTTGGCCTTGCCGTGTGGTGTGTGTTCAGTCCTCCCTGGGAGGGCGCAGGGAGGGCTGATGCACCCGTGCTAGGAGCAAGAGCAAAGCGGCAGAGTTGTAGGGTAGGCCCCACGGCCTTCCATATCGGAAGGGAGTCTGGGCCTTGACACCTGGCCTCCAGCTATGGAAACCACAGGTTGCCAGAGTCCTGTGTCTGAATCTCATCCCGTCCCCTTGTTGGCTGCAGCTCTGTGGCACTTCCAGTGCAAAAGCCTGTAGGCTCATCTTCAGAGGCAGCAGAAAGCAGAGTAACTGGGAAGACTGCCTCCAGCAGGGCTGGGTGTGGCACCAGGGCTGGCCTGGGGAGGAGACATCGCTCCGGGAACACTGTGGGTGGTGCCAGTTTCAGAGAGTGAAGAGAAGCAGGTTGAGGCCTCCTGAGGCCTGAGGCTGAGAAGAAACTGAGGGCATGAGAACCAGCCCAGGCTCAAGAGAGGACCCTAGGGCTGGGCAGGGAGGAAGGGGTCTCAAACACATTTTCTAGAATTAGAACGTCCTCTGCCCACCCTCCCGTCCTTACCCTTGTCCCGAGAATGAGGCCCAGAGGCCAGCGCGGATTCCATCCTCCCCTCCCTTTCTCCAAGGCTTTCCTTCAGAAGACGAATGTTGTGGTGCTGTGGGTGTATTTTGCTAGAGATGGAGTGGCCCCTGGCAGCTCTCCAGCCTCTAGGAACGTTTGCTCCCTCACCATCCATATAAGGGCTTGGTCTGGGTTGTGAGGAATGGTATGTGTGGGGCCCCAACAGTGGGGTTTAGGTCTTTGCTTCCAAGTAGACCATAATCACTGCAGAGCAATAGGCCATGAAGGCGTGAGGAGAGAGACAATGTACTGAACTAGCATGTTGTCAGGGGAGACTACATTCCTGGCCTCAAACTCCCAGAAGATGTTGGAGTCAGGCCTTGATCCAAGGCAGCCACACTGCCTCTCTCACGTGTGGATGACCCTGGGTGGCGATGGGCCCGGGGGCAGCCCAGATGGACTGCGGCTCAAAAGGTAGAGACACAGGTGGAGCTCAGAGAAGAGGAGGGACCTGGCAGCACTCGGCAGTGGAAGGAAGTGGAAGATGGTTTCTGTCTGATACTTAGCTGACTCCGAATGCCCCTGGGAGTGCCGGGAAGGGCTGTAAATGCCTGATGAATTCATGCAGCTCTTGGATCTCTAGTCCTGCTCTGCTGTTTTTTTTTTTTTAAATTCCTCATAGCACTTGATAACCTTTAAAGTACTAGACATTTACTTACCATGTTCATTGTTTATCATCTTCCTCACCCCATTTAGAATGTAGTCTCCATATTTTTCAAATATGGTGTGAGCCAGGGGCCTCCTTTTTAAAATGACCATTTATTGAGTAGTTACCTGCACTCCCCACTCGCCATTTGCATTCATCTTTTGGTCTTCTAGATAACAGGCCTGTGTCTGTGATTTCTGTTCTATTCCGTTTGTCCATCTGTTCCAGGATCTCCTAACTTAATTGTTACAGTTTTATTACCAGCCTTAATCTGGTAAGGGTAGCAACTCACTACTCCCAGCTTACTGATTTTCTTCACAATGGAATCGGCTATCCCTAGTGCTTTGCTCTTTGTGTCTGGAGTTTCCAAGACCACCCCTAGGCTTGATGATTTGCTAGGAGGGCTTGCAGGACTCAGTTACAGTTCATTGCAGCAAAAGGCTACAGATGAAAATCAGCAGAGGGAAAAGGGGCAAAGTCTGGGAGAAACAAGGTGCGAGCTCCCGGGTGTGCCTCCCAGCAGAGTTGCATGGGGACACACAGTTCTCCCAGCAACAATGTGGGGCAGTGTGTGTGATGTGTCGCAGCCAGGGAAATGCCCCTGAATCTAGTGCAGGGCTTTTATTGGGCATTGGTTATGAAGACGGGCAGCAACCTGCATAATTGACCTCAGCTCCTGTGATTTCAGACCCTTCTGTGACCACCCTCCTCTCACTATGAGCAAACACAGGCATGCACCATAAATCACATGTCAGGATAATGTTTTCAAGCCACAGTAGTACAGCATGGCGCATGGCCTCAAGCATACAAAAGCCCTCTTATCAGGCAGACTATTCCAAGGACACAGAGGGTATTTCCCAGAAGCTGAAGATATGCTATTGTTTGGAATGTGCAGGATTTGAGCAACCTAGGTCTGCTGTGTTAACCCTTTCCTGCCCACTCTTCCTTTCTGATTTCAGGATCTGCCTGTCGAGTTCCACACGCAAAAATCCTTGTTGGAATTCATACATCAGAAGTACGGATTAATTTGGGGCAGATGCTTTCTTTATGATGATGATCTTCATAAGAAGCGTGGTAGATAGATCCTTTATAAAGATCTTCTTTTACATTTTTAAAAATATTTTATACTTAGTAAAAATCTTGTTTATCCTTTGCTAGATTTTTCTGACCTCTTTTGTGGATTTGTTACTTCCATATGTGCCTCCCTCCCATAAGGAGCCCTGTGAATATGTTGGGTCCACCTAGATAATTCAGGAGAATGTCCTCATCTCAGATTTTTGAAATTAATCATATTGGCAAAGTCCCTTTTGTCATAAAAGGCAACATTCACAGGTTCTGGGGATTAGCATCATGAGCATCTTGGCGAGGGGTGGGGAGAGGAGGCATTTTTCACCCTGCCCCAGACAATCACATGGCCTATAAATAGATACAGTTTTTTTGTTCTC